TCGTTTAACGATCTCTTTATGTGTTTTTTTTTTTTTTTCTGGTTAATTTTGTTATGTTTTTGACGTCTGCCTTTATCGCCGTAAAAATATTTTCATTGTCGTTCACTGCGACAATCGGAAAGTGAAAACGGAAAGGAATCGTAGCAGCGACTGAACAAAAAGCCAGTCACATTTTCCGCTTCCATGAAACGCTCCCCAAATATTAAGCCTATATTTTGTACAGGGAAACCGAGGTTGCTTTGATGCGGGTGAAGGGTGGCTGGCGTTCAGCCACCTGACTGATTGGTCAAGTGACCGATCATCCGCAGGGCTCTCGTATTCTGTGGCTACAACTTGCCAAACACAGGCAGCGGCTATAAACGTCTGCTCAATATGGTTGACAGATTTGATTTTACAAAAAGGCTTTCCGATCCTTTTTCATCTCAAATTGTTAATCGATTCCATTATGTTTCTGCACTAGAGCTTATCGCCTGGCGATGGATAATATTTTAGTAAGATACATTTATGTTTTAAAAGTATTTCTTTAAAATATTTCATCCATATTAAGCATTTAAAAATTTTAACATGCTTCATTCATATAAAGCATTTTTGTATTTCTAATGGCAGTTACAATACAAAAAACATGTTTTAATACAGCGAAAAATGCCTTCCAGAAACTAAGCAAAGTATCAAGGAACAGGAAGATTTTTTCCGAAAAAATGAAATATGTGCTGAACTTTAAGGAAATATAAGATCTTCTATAGGTCAATGAATTCTTGCAGATAAAGAAGAGATTTGAAGCAACAGAGATGTGGAACTACAGAATGATGCTGAGAATAACATGGAATGAACATGTGAGTAACGCGGAAGTTTTTAATGAAAAGGGAGAACCAAAAGGACGCTTATACTTAGAACCCGAAATTCGATATTTCAAGGATACATAATGCGGAAGGTGTGGTTGGAGAATTTGACACTCACAAGACGTCTTGTAAGCAAGAACGACAGAAAGAAATAGCGAGTACCCTACCTAACAAACTTGTGTATATGGATAGAATAGTGACTAGACAGGATGGGGAAAAGACAGAATTTATTACAAATTAAAACGGATAGGAAATTTTGGAGAGGCATAATCGCCCAAGTCCTGAAGGGACACGGTACATAGTTGTAATTTTCAGAAATGTCTGTAAATGGGATCATTTGGGGGAATTATGGAAGCAGATTTCCTTTCTGACTAACTACAAGCATTTTAGATACCTTAAGGACATACGTATTAAAATTGTGTAACCTGGACCTTATATGCTCGTCCCCGATATCTGAGCGACTGTCCAACTCTTCCATGCGGTAGTTGTTTATATAACTGTGTGTATTACGACTTTTTCCCGCGCTAGCAAAAAAAGATCAAACTGTGAAGTCTCGTGATGCTGCACTCGACGGTGGGGCGTAACCTCAAGTCCACCCAGCACCAGTCTTCCTTAGGGTGATACTGCGTGAAAATTCTATTCACAGACACACACAGACACGCACATCTATATATCATTGTGCTTGTGAATGTTCCTGAAGTGACGGACTATTATATATATATATATATATATATATATATATATGCGCGTGTGTGTATATATGTGTGTGTATGCATGTGTGTGTGTGTAGAGAGGGATAGAGAGGGAGATAGAGAGTAGGACTCAAAATTACCCACGCAATACAATCAATTTCATTTGTAATAATAAAAAAGACTTCGATTATTGAAATATTTCTATATATAAGAAATAGACTAAGATATTAGGCGTCGAATAAATCTATTTCAGAAACCTTTTTATTCAAAACAATCGCATTATAAATATAACTAAAAAAAATAACAAAGTCAGAATTATCCGTGCAGCAGAAAAAAATTCTATTCGTCAGAAAAAAAAATCCATTCGCCAGAAAAAAAATAGTTAAATTGCTCAAGAAAATTCATAAAATATATATATTTATAACATATTATGACGAGGTAATATAGCAGTTAGTAGCTATGATTTACAAAATTTTAAAAGAATCTGTGTTTACTATAATGAACATGCGCATTGTTCATTTCAATCCGGGTATCAACAGCAACAACATGGCGAAGCAGAAAATTGTCTGTGGATTTAATCAGTTGATCACTTGCAGTTCAGGAATGACTTTTAAATGGTAAGCAGGTTTTTGGTAGGTAAGTTTAGAATAAAGTATATAATGGAAAAATATCGAAAAGAAATCATTAGAACTCATAAGTTTAAGCTCTAATATTGCAAAGAAAGATTGTCTATAGATGTAAAGTGCCGAGAAACATTGTTTCTGATTTGTCAAACAATGGCGGTAAGCAGGATGCGCAATAAAGATGCCCTCCGAAGATACCATCCAAAAAAGGCCTTTTCCCAAGAGTCATCGTTGCAAGCTTTAATTAGTACTTCTAAAAAGATGCTGTTATTTTGTACACCGTCTTATGAATTAATAACATTATAATTGAATGGTCTACGTAGAATCAGAAACAGCAAGTGTAAGGAAAAGACGTAAAACCACGAAAACGTTACCTAAATAATAAAAAATAATATTTGACCTTTCAACTATTCTTACGTCGGGCGTCTACAGTAGAGCGCTTTTAAGCCAATCGTTTCTTTGTTTATTTAGGCAATGTTTATTTTATGGAAACTACAAAACAAGCTAACTTTATTAACTATCTACACCGTAAGTATAACCTATACTGGGATCATGGATAGAAAATGAATTCATTAATATAAAAAATAGAAAGGGGTGTAAGACAAGAATGGGTCTTCTCACCGGATTTATTCATCCTTTACAGTGAGGTGCTTGTGAAAGTATTAGAATTCATACCAGGATTTATTAATGGCGGCCAGAATCTTAACATAAACAGATGACAAAGTGTTGACAGCAAAAATAAAAAAGGAAACTACAAAAACTCCTACAAAATGTAGTGAAGGAAACCAAGAAGAAAGGACTAAACACAAAATGCAAGAAGACAGAATGTGCGGTTGTTAGCAAAAGGGGACAACCCAACATGTAAATTACAAACTGGGGATACCAAAATCAAGGAAGTCTAACAATTTAAATATCTAGAAAGTGTTTTAACAGGGGACGGAAAGTATGACATGGAAATCCGAAGGCGCATTGGGATAGTGAAATATGCCTTCTAAAAGCTAAGTAAAATATTAAGAAACGGGAAAATTTGGGTAAAAGCAACTTTGGGTGTAATAAGTGTAAGATATTAGGCGTCGAATAAATCTATTTCAGAAACTTCCTATAATAAAAATTAATATTTGGCCTTTCAACTATTCTTACGTCGGTCGTCTACAGTAGAGCGCTTTTAGCCAACCGTTTCTTTGTTTAGTTAGGCAATGTTTATTTTCAGTGGCGGTAAGCAGGATGCGCATTAATTGTTATGTAATATTAGTCCTACAATATGACAGAAAGCAACAGAAATGCGGTTCTACAGAAGGATTCTGAGCATACCATGGACTGAAAATGTGAGCAACGACGAAGTGTTGTAGAAAATGGAAACAAAACGGACAATTATACTTAACAAAAGAAAGACACAGTTGAAAATTTTAGGAAAGAGGGTTTTGGAAATTGCATCTATGCAGGGCATATTGAAGGCTATAGGGACAGATATAAACAACGCATGAGTTACCTGATGAGCTTACGTAAGTGGATAGGGGGGGGAAGAGTTTATGAGAAATAGCAAAAAGACAAAAATAACTAAGAGCTACAAAGAACAAGAAATTGTGGAGAGCCATGATCACCAATGCCCTGATGGGACTTAGCACGTAGAAGAAAAAGAAGGTTCTTACACAGTCCGGCAATTTAGGCAATTCAATTTTCCGCTGGCTATTTCCGCTAAACCTAAGCCTATGCCAGATTAAGCTAATCTTTGTAAATATCTCAGTTTGATTTATGTATATTTAAATATATTACAGATATATATATATATATATATATATATATATATAACTTCAAAGTCTCGAAACACTCTCTCTCAAAATCAACCAACACTCAACAAAATTTATGAAAGTGCATATAAGAAATATTAAATGCCAATTTACTTGTCTACCAACTTCCGGTCAGCACACTTATATTGAAACAATTGTCTTGCAAAATATTCCGTAACTACAATGGATAAATTTAAAATTTGAAAATAACTATAACAGATTTGCGTGTGAGTTTGTTTTTAAAATCACCATTATAGTAGTTACAATAAGTTTGTCTTTGTAGTTTAGCCCTGAAGATGATCTTGGAGGAGGTCGAAAGTGCTTCTGTAGGAAAAAAACTACAACGCCTTTCATGATGAATTTTATCTTAACATTTAGAAAGTGATTAAACCGCGAGAAAGGATCAATATAAAAATAAGTAGGTACAATATGTCTATATTATTCAATGAGACGTGTTTGAATGAGATATGCTTCCTATATATATATATATATATATATATGAGGCTTTTTGCATATATTTGAACATGTGTTGTGTGAGAGAGAAAGGGGGAGAGGGGAGACTCATATCCAGAGGAGGGGAAACTGTTCAATGTTCTTCACCGATAAATCGAGTCAAGTGAAGTGGAAAGAAATTCACGCCCAGTTTCCTGCCGTCAGTTGGGTTATGTGATCAATCGACTTCCGCACTATTTCACAGTCAAACAATAATCTTCGTCCCTCCTGCTTCGGCGCACAGCATTCCTGATCGACACGCCGTTCTGATCACCCTGATTAACGTCACTAATCGAATCTCGGCCATCCAAATCTCAAACATTCGATGGCCGTTTACGGCGGGGATGGAAAGACAGTTCCAGCCTATTGTCTTCCAGATATGGATCCGGGTCCTAACGTCTGTCTTTTAATTCTTCTCTTCTGTTAAGTCTTCCGTATGTTCCTATTTCATGTCAAAAATTCTTCCTTATTATCTCTTTTAATTTTGAAGTTTCGGCAAGAAGAATCTATAGAATTAAATCCAACTGTATTCTTCATTGTTCTTTTAATAACAAACAGCATTTGTCT